ACTGAGGTTTTAACCATTTAATTTCTTTTGTGTCATTACCATTCTCTTCTTCTAATTGCTTAAGTTATCCTTGAAACTTAGCTTCTCTTTCGATTTCAGTGTCTCCTCAGCCATTGCTAACTCTTCTCGCAATCCACTTGTTTGTTTTTTATAAAAAGCATTCATTTTCCGTTCGTGAGGTAAAATGGGGAGTTCAGAATTTCATATTGATAATACAACGACAAACAGAAACGAAAATAATTGCCTTCAGAAAAATAGCATAACGCAACAACTACGTAAAATAATTAATAAAAATTTCAGTATGAAAATTCTTGTCGAGGCAATAGGGCCCTGTAGTATCGATTAGTGATGAGGCCACCGACTTTATAAGTATATTTTCATAATTATATCTCTAAGAACGGACATTATTACGAATTATTTTTTTAGAGAATGATTCTCCCTTTGCTAGACGAATGACTTTACATTGACTTTTATCTTTCATTATTCGCAGACTTACATTGGAATTGTGTCTCGAATATATCTTAGGCAATAGATATATTCTCCATCGGCATTTAAGACACAGTCCCCCAAGTTCCTATATAACAGAATCCATATGGCTCATTTTAGGTATTAGTATCTGCAACATGTAATATCAAGATGTTAATATATGTACTGTATATAAATTTATAAGCCCTGAATAAAGTTAGAACCACATACCATTTGAGTATATATAAAATCTTCAATCATTGAGAAACACAAATTGTTCGGGTACATAGCCATTCCCGATTTTTGCAACAATGCGCTACGTAGCAACCCGTTTCTCTCTGCTGCCATTGTACGTAACTGGATAATATTAGACGTTAATTACAGTCAAAACTACTTGACAATGCAGTCTTATTCCATACAATAAACCTTCTTTCCGTGTAATTTGTCAAGCATGGTGACGTGATTTCCGCCTTGTAGTACAAACATCTCCGGTCGGAATTACACAAGCGACACCAGCATTTATATTTTTTGACGCAGTTAATATTTCGAAATTTAATACAGTTTTAGTGAAACGGTAGAAGATATATAAGCAGTCGTAGTTTTTCGCGGTAAACATTATCTCAGCTTTATTTCGATCAATTGTCCTTTTGGAATAGTCCTTTATATCCTAATAAACAAGTGTTATAAATATTACATCTATTCGTTATTTTCCTGGTGAGTTCTTTTTATTCGACTGTTGGTTAAGTGTAAAACGCTTTCTCGATCAGGGTTAACAAATTCGGTAGGACTTATTGTTATACAATTAGTATAAATGCGTTTACTATTGAAAACTTTCCCAACCGATAGACTTTCGAGATTAACCCCATCGGAAGTTAATCGACGTAGAACTTGAGATTGGATAATAATCCAGAGCAAGCGTATACAAGACCGAATCTTGGAATTAGTGAATATTTAAACCCAAATAAAGCCACTAATTGTCGTTTAAAGGTTTAGTGCTAGGAAGAATAGCTTAAGGTTCCTCCGGAAGACGATAAATCTAAGGTCGTTAACGCGAACGCTCTCCCGTGTATCTTTTCTGGCCCAAATTCCAGAACATATATAATTTACGTCACCATATAAATTCCGAATTTATATATATTAATATAATTTGTGGTACGCAATTTTTATATATAAATCATGATGTTTTGAGATAAGGTAAATGAATATTTGATAAGCAACCAATTAAATATAATCGTTTACGAATTCTGACTTACATTTCTGTTGACAGTGGCATCTTTACACGTATACCTGGTCTGTCTACCGGACAGTATATCAACGACGCTTTTAAAATAACATATTATATGTACAATGTATATCATCATAGGATTTGTTTCAAGAATAGTCTTGATTAAAACATCAAACAGTTGAATTACTATGTACAGCTATCACACAATGTATCTTCATTTATTTATTTTTCACTCGAAGCAATATATCATCATGCGATCAGCTCTTCAATAATGTCGACGAATAGTCTTGATTAAAGCCAACAGATTTCACACAATGTATCGTCATCGTATGATACATTCTTCAATTATTTGATAGAGACAGTTCTATCAAATAATTAATTGTTATATTCTGGCAACACGAAAGGTACAAGAGCGGCGTAGAAAAGAAGAATAAAGAATAAAAGTGTAATCAATACGAATAAAGGAAGCTCTGACTTGATATAACAATGGATATTAATCTCAGATAATCGAATTGTAGTCTGCCACAAATTATATGTACAAATTGTGTTATGGGGTAATTTGCCACAAATTATACAGTCAACTCTGTCTATACCGGCTTTTTTTATACCAGTTTCGCCTTATACCGGTCCAATTTCGCTGCACCAAAAGATTATATATTAAACTCACCCCTTATAACGGCTGAATTATATACCGGTCTTTTGTTATAGCGGCCAAAAACCGCCAAACCACACGCGCCGGTATAGACAGAGTTGACTAGACATAAAGAGTGGGCAGATCATCGAAAAAATTAATGATTCTCATCGCATGCTAAACTTTTATTTTTGCTAAGTAAATTACAAACGATGCTCTAAGTAAAGTTGTTGACAATATTAACGCGCATGTATCATACACATTTAATGAAGGAAGGTTCAATATTAAGCAAAATATGATTACGTAAATTGTAATAACAATTTTCGAACTTTGGTTGTTGAAACTTCGATTATAAAACAGCTTTAAACCGTTTTGTTTTAACGTTTTAGCATACGTAAATATAAATTTTTATAGCGTAAGATATAATGATCCAAAACGTAAAAATAGTATTATATAATTAGATACGTCTTCCAAAACGTCAATATTTTATCCCATAGTTAACGTAAAAACCGTACCTGAATGAGTACATACGGTTCCTGAACTGCCCCACTTTTTAGGGCCAAGCATTATTTCAATAAATAGCGATGTCTTATCAGGTGTCCTATTACGGTAGCGTGTGAAGTAAGAATGGTTTTGGTTTGGTTTTTTTTTTTAGTAACAAGTAAATAATAAATGTGGGTGCGGAAACCATGATCTTTCATTGGTTGATCAGATTATATTCTCTAATCCCATTGGTTAGTTTCAGCTTCAGCCATCAGCCGCGACAAATCAATTTATTTGACCATTTGCGCCTGAATATTAATATTTATTTATAATTTTTTCTAACTACCGCAGTGATTAAAATTTTCGGACTTAGATTTCGGTAGAGCTGCGAAATGACCATCATCCTGAACTACTCTATCTCAGTACTGCAGAAATCGCTTGGTCAAATCGCTGTCCCTCCCCTCTTTAAAGCGTTGAGCCGTTCTTGAAAGATTTCAAACTGTGCCAGCAGTTTGCTCTTCGGCTCTTCGCACCAGCTCTAGACTACACTCTAAGTCCTATTTAAGTAATGTAAGTTCCGCTAGTTATAAGATAAGTTAATTTAATAGAATGGCTAACAAATATTAAAAACTATGTACTTTCACCACCCTTAAAATATCGTCGCAACTGCTTCTCTTTCTTTACGGTTTTGCCGCTTTATTCTACTACCGCACTTTTTTCAGTTTTATGATTTGGGGGTTTCTGGTATCAGGTCTCTGAAGGTTAGGTTCGGTCGGTCTGGATTGTTGCCGCCTCTTTTCAGTAAGAAAGGTTGTGGTAACAGGTTACATAGTAGATCGCTTAGTTGGCGTTGGCGAATACGTTGAGTAGACTTAGCGCGACGATTAGAATGTTGACGAAGTAACTATTGCTATACAGTCAAAAGCGATCCGAGTATAGAGCGGGATCATGTGTCGGAAACTTGATGACTCGTATGTAACTTCTAAGTATATAATAGATACTATATCAGTTTGTTTGGCTATTCATAATGTCGAAAAGATACCCTTTGTTGAAAAGACGTTGATATACGAATAAATTAATAAACATACAATAACAACTTTTGTATCACTATTCAGTACGATATACGTTAATAATGGAGAAGTAGACTTGTGTACGTTGTGTAGTCGTGTACCGCGGAAGGCTGGAATTTTCGCTCTTGTGAGGGTCAGGGTATATATACATGTATGAGTTCGTGTTAAATGACGGAACTGTTAACCGATAGAGTGTAACACATTATTACATCATATCGCGTGTATTACACTGATACTATTGTTCTTATTTACGGAAACGATCGTGACGGTCGCAGTAAAATTTTTTCACCGGTTAACAAGTCCGACAAGTCACGCGTATAAATTTAATTAAACTGATTCCTATAATAGTGATAATATCAATAACAAAAGCTGTCGTACCGTCCTTATAAGTATAAATACTGTTACCTATGCAGTAAGGAGTGCGACTGTCAACCAATAGTGAATATCGATATATTGCCTAGTGTAACACATATCGCGACTGTCACCATAAGTAAGAACAATAATATCAGTGTCGCTGTAAAAATTTATATTTACGTATTCAAATGTTTTTACTTAATCACATAAGTCTTATAATCGAAGTTCGACAACCAAAGTTCGAAAATTTTTAGTACAAATTTACGTAATCATATTTCGCTTAATATTAAACCTTCCTTCATGAAATGTGTATAATACATACGCGTTAACATTGTCAACAACTTTACTTAGAGCATTGTTTGTAATTTACTTAGCAAAAATAAAAGTTTAGTATGCGATCACGTGCGTGGACCGAAAAATCATCTTGTGGACACCCCTGGGTTTTGTGGCTAAAAAATGTGTAACGCAGAGAAGGTTCTCCATTATTCTCTACTGTTCTCCGCTCTCCCATAACATCTCTCGTTAGATAAATCACTCTGATGGCTAAAAAAGATTATTTCTCAAGTAGCAGCGGATACCGGTATTAGTTACTCCTCATAACTAACTGATAAAACTTCCAAAATTGCACTTATTAAATCACTTTTCTGGCCGTTAGACTACCTGCAAAACAAATAATAAACACTCAGTCATAACTTTACCGGGAATAAAGCTAGCAGCACTAACAGTAATTTAACCTAAAAATTGCTTTAGCAACAACCTGTATACTCTTTCCATGATTTCCTCATACTCGGATGGAGGCAGCTCCCCGTATGGGCACCCAGGTGTCTTCCCCGCCCCAGCGTCGTCAGGTATACATAAACTTGGAAGAAAGCGGGTACACGAAAATGGTTTTATGCAAGATGAGTTTGCAACGAAAAAGGTTAGGCGTGTAAATAATTATACGAGTAGAGGGAATATGACAGATCGGATGGATAATTATTTCACTGTTAACCGGAGCACTGGTAACGCAGCACAAGTGACAACAGCAGCAACCGCTTATTCTTCTAAAGTTGCCACTACTACTATCCCTCGCACGCCAACATCACAGTCGCCTCCATCTTCATCCTCGTGTCAACGTCAACGTTACTGCCATTCCACGAATCATTTGTCAATGACCGAGCCTTTGTTAACTGTCAACAGCTTATCTTCACCACGATTAATTGATCTATCTACGGGCGAGGCTCTCGAAGCAGTTAATCCTGATACAATCGTGAGCACACGAAGAAAAGGTAACAAGCGTACTATTGATCAAGTAAATGAAAGCAAGGGAGATGAGCGTGTTATAAAAACTTTGATGGTTGGCGACATAACAGAAGAGGAGAGAAAAACGAAGGGAATGGATCAGCGTCCATATCCCCAGAACGAATATGAAAACGATGAATGGATGTTAGACTCGACTCCACCAGATAAGAAATTTAGAATAAGTGCGAACATTGAACCAAGAGATTTTACCAGAGAGGACACTGTAAAGGGACAGTTAAATGAGTTGCAACAATTTGGGGATTCAAACAATTATATTACGCAGGCTGCTCCCTTTATATTCGGGACGACAATAACTTCATCAGCTCCTTCATCATCTCATTATTCAGATACGCAAGAACACCTTTCACTTACAGTTCAAAACCCGAAAAAATTAAAGCTTGCATATCACGAGGCGCTTACAAAATACATGCGTACGCAATTAGAGTACATCTCCTCTACCATCGACGACAGTAGGAAACAGATCGTATTGTATTTACCACAGAATAAAGTATACATGGGAAATCTAGGAAAAGAGGATACACAAATGTTGATAGAGATCGATGAGAATGATAAAAATAGTGAGGCTTCGAAGATTTGGGAAATTACCGAGAATTCAAATTCACTCGACCCAAAGAGTGATATTGCTGATGATATCGAGATGAAGGACATTATAAATGAAAGTATTGCTATTGGTGATGTACATACTCAGGGTGGAGAAATGGATATTGATTGATAATACTTTGAGATCATAAATAGAAAATCAATGGCAATGATGTTATTTTCCATTTAGACGATTAAACAATAAATAATAAAGTATAAGTAACAGCTAAAACAGTATTGTAATTAAAGTCGGCGATTCAATCATATTCATGTTAACATGTATGATGTAGTAGATTACTTTTGACGATAAACAACTTAATGTCAAGTAGAAAATTACTTACAAATGCAATAGTATTCAGGATCTAATATAACTAGTGTAATGCAATGCGATTGAGCAACAACTTGACCTGAATCAATCGTACAATTTTTAGTGAATATTTCTTGGTTTTGGTGGCAGGTGCAGATATCACATTTGAAAGACTAACAACCTTCTTAACAAGTTTCGTAGAATGTCTTTCTTTTATCTCCGCAAAATAGTCTCTGGTAATGACTTGCTGTAGAGAAACAAGACAGAAATTAGATTGTTGAGAAAAGGCAATTCAGTAAAAACGTTGATGACAAACGTTTCAACCCAAGATAGAAAACAGAGTACGCAGGTGAAGCATATACACACCAAGCATTGAGGCTACAATACAAAAAGTTACTAGGATGGGTTTCGAGCAAAGAAAAGGCTACAATTTTTCATGATGAAACCGTGGTTCACAGTTTAGTTAGCTTTGGGTGAGCCATTTTTAGGAAAGGTTTGCCATGGCTAACCTGCCTATGCTTGGAAGAAAGAAGCGTTGCATAAATATTATAGTGTAGAAGCGATCTATACAAAATGGGTTGCATGAACGTATGTACGGAGCTTATTAATAATAGGAATTAACGTCATATGACAGAAACACAAGACGAGCTATGAACTAAATTAGATATCTCCAATATTGCAAAAGTTTAATTTTTCGACACAGTAAAAGAGTTATTTCTTAATTTTTCTTGCTTTTCATTTTCTCTTAGAGAAAACCATGTTTAAGCGTGATTGATAAGACATAATACACAAGAGATTAATAAGTCTCCATCCGTCATATTGTTTTTGCTGCTTCTTTGTCGTTTCTTCTATCCGATCGATAAGTTAGTAATTATTCGTTATGTTCATTCGTCAATTCATTAGATCCGCGTATTAATTTTCGATTAATCGGAATAGTCAGTATATAGAACATCAAAAACATAGGAACATAGGGTATCGAATTATTGGCTGCTAAATGCCTTAATAGTAAAGTCTTTCTTTTCAAAAATCTCTGTAAAACAGAGATTGTGCATTGTAGATGAAAAAGTACATAATCTTTGTGCATTATATAAAGTCAAAAGCGATTCATCACAAAATAAGCAAAGACATGTTGTATTTGCTAACAATAGAACCTAATAATTGTAACAAGACTATTATCCATTTTGCAAGACATTTCAATATAAAATACTATACACTGGTACAAATATATAATAATGACTCTTATTTAACGTACTGTGTATAGTTTATTAGACAGGCTATGGTAAAGTGACTGACGCCACCATAAAATTTGCTTGTACTTTCGAACAAACGAAATTGCGATGAAATTTTTTATATCGAAGATTTACTAGACAGGTTAGCCTGTAATACATTCGTATTTCTCTGACTAAAGTACCTCCCGAGTAAAATACCCCTCAGCAGTTTTGAGGCCTGATTTTGTAAAAGACCCGGATACTATTAAAAGGTACTTGAGTAAAATATGTACTCTACCATATTAGTAAAACGATCGGGGGGAAAAATGAGCCGTGAGAACTAACGATACTCTATTTTGCTTCTTGGAAAACTGGCATCCACGAAGAGTTGGTGAACAAGCATTGTCTATCAGCACAATTAGACGCTGGCTACATTCAAAGACGAGGAAGAAGAAATTAAAGACAAGCTCGTTCTGGACGTCCTCGCGAAGCAGTGACGTCAGAAAAAATTACCAAGTTCGAGGACCTTGTTAGCAATAACTCGCACATTCTATTAAAGAATTAGCAAACGAAATCGGCATTTTTCGTGAAAGAATTTCCTACATTTTGCATGATGAGCACAATCGCTCGTGACGTCATGCTTCGTCACGACAATGCCGCACCAGACTTGTGATTTTTTTTATTCCCTCGAATCAAAAGGGAAAGAGATTTGGCAAGGGCTGTTCAGGCAGTTGCTGAAATCATCCCAAAAACCGACTATGGGAAGTCTTTCCAGAATTGGCGAAATAAAGGTCCACGCGCAAAACTTTTCTGGACACAATTTTATGCAAACGTATTCTCAGATCGGGTGTTTTCCACAAGCCAATGACTCGGAAAAATATGCCACAAGTCCTGAAATACCCATCGAATTTATGGCGCATTGTTTAATCGTTATAACCCTGTCTACTGAATGGCCAAGGCAGAGGCCCATGAGCGATACAGTCGTGTCGCATTTAAAACATGTTCATAATATAAGTAAATAAGGACGCCTTCATTCATTGCTTTTATTGTTTCGTGTATATAATAGTGGCATTTGCTAGCTAAACATTAATTGATATCACTTACATTTTCGTAATGGGATGCAACTGTCCGCCATTCCGAAAATCAATAAGAAGTGAAACTTGCCTCAAAAGACTCATAAAGGAAGTAATGGAATTAAAGATAGTAGATATTAAATACTATTATATATGTTTTCACGACTGGAGGAAAAAGTTAGTAAGTTTTTGTAATATACAGCAAAAACATGAGTTAGACTTTCTTTCTCGCAATTCTTTCCAAATATCTCTCATGCTTCTTATTTTCAATATATGTATCATCGAATTGATGTTCCAGATATTCTTTGAACGATGGAAACAAACCAATCCAGAAATCGATATCAGGAATGTTTGGTTTCTGTGCACGAAGAGTACGATAAAGGTTTTGGCGAGATGGAAGCCAAGCTAAATAAAGAATGAACCTAAATGAATATCATCTCATTGTTACTAAACGACACACAAACTCATTAGTGTAAATACCAGTTCCTGAACGATCTTCAAATAGTTTCACACCTCTGCATACGCCAGATGTTAACATTTCTATCTTCTCGCGCGAACACGGCATATTGGGTTTCTGGATTGCTTTCACGATCTGAGCATATACTTTGCGCCCTCTGAATCTGACGTTTAACATCAGCATACCAGCTGCTTCCTCCATAGAATCAGCTTCCCAAAAGCTTAATCCTATAGCATTATCCTCTTGACGCGTATACGACTCAATTATATCATTCATTATTCGTTTGGTGGTTCTATTAACGTAATCGTTGAAATTCTCCGATATAATAATATCTGCAGTAACTTCCGAAAATGGTTCGTAAAATGACGGTGGATCCGCCGCCGCTGCCTCACGTCTTGTTGAATTCTGTCGATGATTGAATGCCTGCAAGAAAGTAGCCAAGAAAACCTTAGGACTAAATGATGCATAAAACTTATGTGCTAGTTTGGTATCATCCTCAGTGAAGTTACGAAGATCGGGTGCCTCGGTTACAACAGGCGTTGCATTAGTAATAGCGTATTCAAATAATTTATTGAAGCGCAGAACAATTTCAACTCGATGCATTGTCTCCCTCTTAATTGTCACAATAGCTGTCTTGGTTGTTTCGGGCATTCCATATGTATTCGCATCATAATAGATAGTTCTAATAATAGGCTGTTTGAATTTGGGTTTTATGGCTACTTCCATTTGGTCTTCTATCTTTTCATTGCCTACAATAGATGATTCAGTTGCTGCGTGGAATGCTGACACATATCTATTGTAAGTAGTCTTGGATGCCTCCTTAATCTGCTTAAGGTAGGTGGTGTATGCTTGTTCGAATTCGTCTCTTGGGACATCAAAGTATTTCGTTTGATCAATACCAAGAGCTGTCTGAATATTTTCAAAGTGATTGTCTATTACACTGATTGATATATTAAGTCTTCGTCGTATATTCTCCTCAATCAGGTACTTAACCATTCCTCCATCGAGCCATGTCTGTAAACTCTGTGCGGATACATCACCACATCTGAAAGCGCAAAGCAAATGACCAAGGAATACATCATTGTTTGCAACAACATCAATGGTCCGGTTAAGTGGTGAAGCTAGATATTTTGCAAAGAGCTGTTTGTTCTCTTCTCGCAGGTTGGTAGACTGTTTATAGATAGCATCACAAGTCTCTAATATCAATTTCAATTGCCATTGTCTGAATTGAGTAGAAGTGTCTGAGAGTGCCGCTGCTAATACCAAAAATGGAATTGTCGTCATCTGACTATATGTATAGCCTAATACATCAAGAGTCGTGATGTATCCCATTATTGGTTTCATCTTCTCTTTAGCAATTAACCAGTGCTTATCATTAATATAGAGAGGAAGTACACCTAAGCATCCATATATAAATATTATTAGCCATTACATAGAATGATAATCACACATTAATATATCTATACAAACCTGTAATATCTTCCCTAGCCAATCCTTTCAAAATGCTCGCACTGAATGAACTGCCACTAAATCCACCATGAACGTCTTCTGCACTTTGTGCTTCGTCAAGAGCATATTTGACCGCATTCATGAAAGCATCAGACGTCAAAAATGATTGATTTATCTTCTTGATTCTCATCTGGGTTGGATCGGCTATTGCAGCCTGAGAGCGTCCCAAATCAAGAGTAAGACAGAGACATTCTCCTTCCCTCATTGCTTCGACGTAGTTATCTATTGTAATGTTATTCAACAAAGTCAGCCAATGGTTTTACAATAACTTTATCGATTTTTCTGTCGATACACTAACCGGTTGTAAGAGCGCAAGTAAAGGTGCGCAAGTTTTCCGATGTCTCCTCCTCTTCTAATTTGTCGAAATCTAGAGTATTAACAACATTCTTTATTCTCTCTTCCACGGCCTCCATCTGTTCCACATTTTTCATGATACGACTGTCCAATTTCTTTTTCAACCGTTGCTTTGTAACGTTCTTGTACGCAAGATCATTGAAACTGGCAATCTTTTCATTCGTTAAAGTACCCTTTAAGGCTCTAGAAGAGGTAATACAACCGCAGTGTTTAAATTTGAGTACCGAGAAAACAACATCTAATGAATTACTCACTCTGACAATAGCCCATTGAAACGATTTAGAATAGCTTTAGTTTCCATACACAGTTGTATTGTTACATTACGATGTGCTGATTTGGTTTTGAAAGCACGTTCGAGTGTAAGATTTAGCTTTTCATCATATTTACTAGTTTCGTCAGAAATGTTATTGAGGACTTTACGATTGTTGTGAGTGAGATTAATGACTTCATTGCTTAGTCGAGTGATCTCTCGCTGAATAAAATAGATATATAATAGATTTGCTTCCGGCGAATTTTCTTCAACGCGACGTATCAAATTAATTCTTTCGTTCTCTATTCCATCTTTATCCTTTATAAGAAGTATCTGCCTTTTTTCAAGATTAGTCACTTGTTCATTGGGTAGGATGACAGTACCCTTGCCTTCGTCGTTAATAGAAATACGCGCTGACTCGAATTCATCGACTTTAAGATGCAAAGTGCGATCTTCCAGACTGAGTAAATCCAGTGTAACGCTCATTGTCTCTGGAATATCACTTGAGCTTTTCACATATTGGAAATTTCCCTGGTTCGTACCAGCAGTCGTAAGCCACGACAACAATGCTACAAATAATACAAATTAATTGTAATTAGTTTATAGTTTATAGCAACCTGATTATTATGGGTACTTACCAGCATCATGACCAGAAGTGAATCCAATAGTATGAACCTCGACAGCGACATTTGAGTCAGCAAATGTTTTTGCCAGCCGCAATTTGTCTTCTGCATTGAGACCGCAGCCATCTTGTCCATCAGTGAAGAAGATTATCACCAAATCGTGTTTTGCTCTGTAAATGTTATCACGAATCGAGGTGAAGACACTTCCGAAGCTAGTACCTGCATTTCGATTGTAACACAAGCATTGGTTATACATTTCTCAGACATATTAATATTCACATAATTATTTGCTTACCTCCTCCTGCATTCACGTTGTCAAAATATCTTCTAATGCCATCATTAGCCCATCTTAATTCGGGATGCTCTTCAAATGGAACAACTTGACAAGAATGATGGAAAAAGAAACATGTTATATCTGTCTCCAAGACAGCTCCGGTGGACAGAAGTTTCTCGAGCAGTGTTAATATGGCAGCTTTCGCTTGAGTAATGCCTGACCCAGACATAGAGCCAGATATATCAAGTGCAATAAACAAGGAAATTCGACGTGAAGTAAACCATTGCGAAAGAATATGTTGAGGAACAAAAGCAGATAGTACAGTCTTGTCTTGAGTCAATGGAAGATAGGAAACCTCAGCTTGCGTCATGTTTATGATTTGAGTTGATCCTTGCAAATATCACATACAATTTATAAGGAAAATAAACTGCGGATTTTAACTGCTGCGGGTCAATACGTTCCATAAAAGCAATTCTGCAGATTTATTATTCTTCGAATTTGGTTGAATACGCTAATCTGTGAATATTTCATTGAGTCCCCTCTTGCGTCTTTCAATCCATCGAACAGCCTACGGCTGGCTTCTACCATTGAAGAGTTTTTATATTTGAATGCAGAAAGTATACCTGTCTGGCACGATATTTAATACGTTTACGGGTTAGTCAACGGACTCGATGAACACGAACAAATTATTTAATAATTATTGTCCTCTTTGAGCAACATAAATACTTCAGCCTGATGGACAATATGCTGATGTAACTGTGCATCTTGTCTGCGGTATTGTGCGAGTATACACTGCATCTTAAATCTGCGCACTAAGACTTATATCAGTTCCCCCACTGTCGAGACGTGATCTGATTTTATTATCCAACCGATGATAGTTTAATCCGTTTGGAGTTGAATCTTCTTATACTTCCGATAATGCATCCATTGTCTTTTAGTCGATTTATCTTGCTCTTGGGTGTTTCATTGCGCGATGCCCAGAACTAAATTGTTAATATCTGGAAAGACGCAGAACACTGCTTGGAAAAATATTTATTCTTTGCCGTAAAATAATACACTAGCGTAGTACATACATTTCCGAGATACTACGGATCGTTCTTCTCACGACACAAAATTTCAGCCCCTGAGTTGAGTACCGTTACAACTTCACATAGTTCCGTCACTTTTACCAGTATTGATTAACCCATATTGGGATCTGATCATAGGGCTTATATCAGTGACCATTACAATAGTAGAATGTTTACGTGCTAGTCGTATTTGGAATTAAGGTTTTTCTCATAAGAAGTGGTTGTTTTAAGGTGAAACAAATTATACATAGCACGAAAGAAGGTTGGCTTACCGCGAGTTTACATATGTCGACCGACTTACTGAAAGATTTCAATATTGAGACCGAGTTAGGCCAAAACCAACTTGCCTGCGTACGTCCTGGAATATCTTAATTTATACGAAATTGGTAATATTGACCATAAACGGGATTTAAAATAACAGATTGAAGTCAGAGTGTAGATTAACTGTTATTTTAACTGATGTTAATAGTTACCGTATTCTTTGGAAAATATGTTTGTTATAGTGTTGCTTATTTTCGGGTAGTTTATTAAAACGAAAGAAATTACCACTGACTTCGTCATTGGCGAGGATGATATCATTGACATCATCGATGAGACTCATATCACTCGATTAATCATTTCCGACAATTTTCTTTATTGTAATAATAAAATAATCAATTGAATGCATTTATAAAGGTAAATTATTTATTCTGAAGTGTTGCTTATTTTCGGGTGTTGCTTATTTTTGGTATTATACGATATTTTTATGTTATTTAAATACTTAAATATCCTCGCTGGTATCATAGTCATTCGTTATAAAAGAAAAAGAAACGTACTTATGGAATATTGGAAACTTGTAGTAAACCTATTAATGTACAGTATTTAAATAAATACCTAAACTGGAAAAGATTGAAGCGGCGGGTGTCGAAGGCTAGCTAGTGAAAAAATGCCAAGCAAACGCTATCATTAGTCTGATTGTTCGTCAAGAAATCGTTCACGTAAAGGGCGGCGAGAATAATGATAATGCCGAATAATATTTATAGACATTGTTGTGCCTGAATTTGAGACCTGTCTCAGTTCAGAACCCAGTCACTCAGTTCAAAACCCAGTCACTCAGTCCAGACCTCGATTGTCTCGGTCCAGAACTGAGACAGGTCCCCAACTGAGATACAACACTCTGTAACATTTAAAACTAGCTTTAGCACGTTTTTGCGTGGCTTGGCAATAAAGCTGTACTCGACTATACTGCAAGGCGATAAGCGTGACATATTCATCCTATTTCTGCGACAGCTACAGCAAGACCCGAAATTAGTGACCAAAAACCTCTCACGATCAATATTTTCGCATTTGGCCAAAAACACCTCGCGTTTTTATAATAAAGTGTCAGAGGTAGAATGGAGAAATGGCATCGTCCGCGGTTACAAAATGTACTTAATTCCTTAATAAAATATGATTGCGTTTGTCCTATTGTTAATCAGGGGGTCTCTAGCTTCCAGTCGATAAAGATGCTTTACTTTAATCGGCGTAAACCGCGTTAAATTATCACCTGTACAGTTTTGGTTATCAAATTCTTCCTGATATTTAGGAAATACGCATTATTTAGGAGCGTATTGACAAAGAATCCCGTGAGCGTGGTAACCGTGAAAGCTAAATTCAAATAAGTGTGTTACATAGAGTACTACATGATTGGGAATAGGGATTATGGAAAATTGGGGATAGGAATTTATCTAGAGTGGGATGCAATTGAAAAACAAGGGAATCTGTCCAGCATTAAAGTTGGGATATAAGTGGGAGATATAACTGAGATAGAACTGTAACCTTTTTTGTTTCAGCAAGTTATGAATGTTCAATTGTAGAATGACACTTCAGCAAGACAGTGACCCAAAGAATGTATATGCCTGTCGTGCCGACTATCACGGGAAAGCAGGTAATAATCGACACTTGGTATTTAGCAAGCTTCGGCAGAGCGTGGCGCCTCCTTCTCTAGATAAATCTTGGGTTATAGTTAGTGATCTTGTTTAATCAGGGCTTTGTACTTACGAAAACCTTCCCGTCGTAGAGTGACACTAATCCTGGATATATTAATTGTACTCGAGTAACTCTGTCGGTTACTATCGTGGGATTAATTCGATAGCCTCCCGTTGGGGTACACTGGTGTATGATTAAGAATAAACGCGTTTCTGAATAACAATTAAATATCGTAATTCGCCACTCAGATAATCGCGGGACAAGGGCGATTATCCTTCGTTGATATACGGATAAATGTGGTACTCGTTTATTGACATTAATATTATGAAATAAAAGAAACTTAAGGAATCAAATTCACACACCGATTCTAGCTGAGATCTATGCTGCTTATATATCTTTTGAGCGGACTAACTGATTAATCTATTTTTAGCAGCTATTACTAATTATCTAAGCTGTTATCCTCAGTATACTTTATTACTTTTACAGCGATGCTGTATTGCTGTTAATTTACTTTCTATTATTATTATTATTATTTTCGCAGCGATGGTGCTGCAAATTCCGCAGCGGCGCTGGTGTTACTGTCGATCGGATTGATTTTTGTGGCACAGTCGCCAAGTACCACAACATAGTTAAAAGAAAAGAAAGTAACCAATCTTAGTTAACCATAATTGTTACGTTCAGTCACCTCCTCGGAGAGCGTTTGTGTTCAAATTGACCGGGGTTTTCTTCGCGAGGCGGCTGCGCTCCCTCACCGCGACAATAGAACCCTGTAGCGTCGATGCTTAGTGTTGAGGCCACCGACTTAGCCAACTTTATTATACTACTTAAGTATATCTTTATAATTCTATCTCTAAGATCGGACATTATAACTAATTATTTCTTTAGAGGATAATTTCCTTCTTGCTAGACAAGTGATTTTACGTCGACTATTATCTTTTATGATTTGTGTTTCGTAGTACATTTGTTCGCAGACTTACATTGGGATCGTGTCTCGAATATATCTTAGGCAACAGATATATTCTTTCTATACTATCCGTAATATATAAAATATATGACAATTAAATAAGAATTATAACACTTCAAATCTAATAATGGCCTATTAGTTTCGTTAATATATATTTAGGGAATTAATAACATCATACAGAAGACGACGAATAATATATCACCGAAGGTCAGGTTCAACACACGAGTTAGAATGGCAATCAAATACAAAGTAAATAGCTAAAATTTGGCGGGATATTAGCTCTAAACGTGGTCTTACTCGTGTTGTACCTCAGTTGGGGACCTGTCTCAGTTCTGGACTGAGACAACTGAGTTCTGGACTGAGTGTCTGGGATCCGAACTGAGACAACTTTACTAAACTATCTCAACACATTCAACACACTCAAAACAATAGAATTTTGCGAGCGTTTTTATAAGCAGGTGGGGCGCACTTTTTTGACTTTGTCACGCACTAAGTTTTGTATTATGTTTTCTGTGAATTTGTTGATTGTTACTGGGAACATTTGCGGATGCGGCATATTTTTAAATTGCGAAATCGATGACGTCGGCTTCCGTCAACGCCATCGAAATTCAATAATTAAGGTGATATTGATGATTGGAAGCACAGTCACGTTTGTACTAGTCTACTCTCTTTGAACCATCTAAGTGATACTTTTCCCTGTGGTTTAAGTTGTAAACTTTTTTTCCCAGCAAAAGGGAAAGAAGCTCTTGTACAGCATACTAGTAGGAAGATTACAGTTCATAAGTGTTACAGCTGTTTTTATGTAAAAGGCATAATGTTTCAAATTATGTTCTAATTAGTTTAGTAAACGACAGCATGAGCTTAAAATAGATGGATGTATTCCACACTGTATGAAATATTAATAATAGAGTATCTTGGAAATGTCCATGTATTCAAATGAAATAAATGGTTTTTATTAAATACTAATAAAAAACCAATTAATTATAAACAAGTTAAATTCACGCTCAACTTTCTTAATTGGATGTGCCCAACAGATATTTCTTAAATACGAGCTTGTTAATAAACACTCGATCGAAATATGACCGAATTTAAAACTCTGATAAAACTACGCTTTTCTTTTTTAGGTTACCCCACAAAAATTGTTTATGCATCCCGCATGGAAAATGTA